GGTGGGTGGGGAAGGACAGCCCATGGGCTGCAGCCAGCCCGGTTGGGCGGACAGAGGGGACCTCCCATGGACCACAGAGCACCCCAGAGGACCTCCCATGGACCACAGCAGCAGATGGGACCTCCCATGGGCCACGGGACCTCCCATGGGCCACAGCACCCCGTTGGATGGACAGACAGGACCTCCCATGGGCCACAGAGCACCCCATTGGGTGGACAGAAAGGACCTCCCATGGGCCATAGAGGCAGGTGGGACCTCCCATGGACCACAGAGCACCCCATTGGGTGGACAGAGAGGACCTCCCATGGGCCACAGAGGCAGGTGGGACCTCCATGGGCCATAGAGCACCCCGTTAGGCAGGCAGAGAGGACCTCCCATGGGCCATAGAGCACCCCGTTGGGCAGACAGAGAGGACCTCCTGGGGACCACGGAGCAGCCCGTTGGGTTGGGGGAGCGCGTCTCACCAGCTCGTCCAGGTTCTTCAGGTCGCAGAGGGCGATGGGCCGGGCCCTGCTGGGGTAGGCGGGCGCCTGGGGGTCCCGGCTCTCCTGGCGCGTGCCCAGTGCACCGTAGGCCATTTGGTCCCTCATCTCCTCCTCGATCTCCTCCTCCATCTGGATGAGCATGGGGGCCAGCATGCCAAACTTGGAGCCCCTCCTGGCCACCTCCAACAAGCAAAGGACAAAGTTCTTCTCGTTCTTCTTCAGCACCAAGTCATTGGTCTCGAACATGAGGACGTCCTGGATGCCGAGGTCCTGCCGGCACCACTGGATGAAGTTGGAGACGTTATCCCGGGCGATGAAGGAACCGGGCACCACGTTCTTGGCTTGGAAGACGACCTCGTTCTGAGGGACGCGCATATGGGCGGCCACCTCGGGGTGCCGCTGCTGGAAGTCCAGGGCGATGCGGTTGACGTTGTTGGCGTGTCGGCAGAGGTGACAGCCCGTCTCCAGGCTCTCCAGGAAGGTGTCCACCTGGATGTCCAGGTCGTAGAGGGTGTTGAACCACTCGGCCAGGTCCTCCTTCATGGCCTCCAGGTACTCCTCGCTGGAGCGGAAGGGGCGGATGCTCTTGGAGGCGGCTGACTGGATGTGGCTGGGGTCGGCCATGGCGAGCTGCCGGCCTGGGGGGGCGACGGGTGCCGTTAGAGGGAGGCAACACCCCCCAGCCCCCCCCGTCCCCCACCAGGCTCCTCGCCAAGGGGAATTTGGCTGCCCGGGGTGGG